TGAACGAAATGACAACTTTTAAGAAACTCGCGACGTTAAATCCAACCAAAGCGCAGGGTCCCGATGCAATCCCAGGATGGATACTGAAAGAGAATGCCGACCTTTTGGCTGGTCCCATATGTGATATTCTGTACCTCTCCTACAGTGAAGAGAACAATTGAAATGTTTGGAACTTACCAAGTGAGTATCATAAACACAACGCTAGATACCAGCATCATACACATCACTCTTGCCAAGGTAAATGTGTCCTCTGGGGATTGTAGTAACGGTTTATCGATGTTGTCAAAGGACACGCCAATCTTCATTCCTTCCAAACGTGAAAATATTCGAGCACCAATGCCAAGAGCGCTGTTGGGAAGCAGGCACATGCCTGCCACCACACTCCTAAAATACAGATCGCATAGATTTATCCATGGGAATGCCGTTGGCTCTTCCTGTGAAAGTGTTGTGCTAAGATACTTGGTAAAGCCAATTTTGAATAGAGGCGAAAGATCTGGCAACACACTTGGTTGGGTCTACGCTGAATGAATTCAAAATAGTTGTAATATTTAAGTGGTGTTTAGTCCACAAGGAAACTATCATTATTTAGCAATATTTATTTGTCACATAAAGATTAACACAGCAGCTTTTCAGCAGCTTTTATTATTTTTCAACATCTCAAGGGGCAAATATGATTTTTGACAAACTTWTGTAACAAAGTTTGCGTAAAAATKTTACTCGTGTAGATGAGGATCGAGGTGTCATCATGACTGACCTATCCAGCAGGTGGAATCTTTCTTGTAGTCTTACGATTAGGAAAGGCAGGGATGMTGCAAKCCACAACACCGAACCAAACAACATGCTTAGTGTTGGATTCGAGAAAAACACACTAAAACGAATAATAMCACCATGATTAGATTACTTCCCGRGGGTACTTGATCCARATTTGAACGGGGACGTTTGGCTGGTACCTTCAAACCCTGACYCCATTAAAAAGAGCAAAATCGTGTAATTCCATACTCTATCKTGAATCTAAAACAGTTCCCCATCCTRCGGGCCTGTYTGTTTTTCTGATKGCGACCGTGTTTGAGGATTAAAGAGGGGATCGAAGACTAAACCCCCTCTATTTACTATACTGGRACGTTCACAGCCARATAGAGTATGGTTTTGGCATTGACATCTTGAATAGGGTAAATACAATTAACCTYCAGTTGTCTTAAAAAGGAGCGTACATTAATTAATTCTATGTTTACCATGTCATATACAGGGGGATAAYATTTATCCCTTAGACTTTATCAGTCAAAATGAAAAATCTAACGACATGTTTAAGGAAACACTACCTCGTTTATGTCAAACTTCAAGTCTTGAATAGAAGAAACAATWAGAATATCTGAGCATGTAAATTTTCACATTTCAAAGACTTCGTTTGCTAAAGAAGGGAAGCATGGTCATGTGTAACCCCTAGAACCACTCCCTGCGTACAAAAATGGAAAAGTTGCTGTACCTRATGAAGAAGCAGTAGGAAATCGCCGACATCGCATAAAACAAGAAAAACAAGAATAACAAAAAGCCATTGGAGTTTTCAAATATCTTGAAGCCCTTAAGAAAAAACTTATACAAATTAGGATAGGAATTAGGGAAGGCATAGACACMTTGCAGTTTGTGTAGGAATGCAACTCCAACCGGAGGAGAAAAAAAGGATTCTAGTTCCCAAGAGGGCAAAAATACTTTGTTTTGAAGCTACTTTGACGTCATATGCAAAGGTTTTTCCTGGTAGATTTTCATCACAATAGCTAGAACTTTACCTTTAACATCGCAGTGATAAGAACAAGACTGATCATTAAGAACAATAAACACTTGATGTACCAGGCCGCCCAGTGGATCCAGTTCGCCAGTCCCATCATTTTCATGGACTCCTTCAAGCGGTTTTGCTTCTCGAAGACAATTTCCTGTAACAGAGTCCAGAATTAAGATATTCAGTTTGCGCCGCATTCATTACTTAGTTTGTCATTAAAAAAAACAAGATCCACTTCGTGGAACACACTGTGTCCAGGGTAGAGTAATCACACCTGTAGCATGAAACATAATCAAAGAAGTAGTAACTATTAGTTTTTATTTACTGACTTACCGTATTTAATCGAATAAACGCCGCGGCGTTTATTTCATTTTTCACGAACCAGCTGCGGCGTTTATTCGAGGGCGGCGTCTATTCGGGGGCGGCGTTTATTAAAAAGACACTTTATTCAGTACTACACATACCGTACTATATATTGTATCTTTTTACTTAAAAACAGTAAGGAATCTCAATATTTAATTGTCATTTTGTCTATTCAATTTATGATTTTAACCAGAGTTAAGCTTCTATTTCAACATCAATATCCTCCTCGTGGTTGGAATCTTACAGCTGCTGAGAGCAAAACTGTACAGTCACTTCGAAATAAAAAACTTTCTAAAAGAAAATAAATTCCCATTGCTGGTGTATTATTATTTTCTCAAATTGCACCCAGATGCGGCGTCTATTCGGGGGCGGCGTCTATTAATATTTTGAACTTTAAGTGCGTCGTCTTTTTGAGGACGGCGTCTATTCGGGACGGCGTCTATAAATAGTAGATATCACTGAACTAAAACAATTCTTAAAAACCAAAGGTAATACACAAGAGACGTGGAAGCCAAACAACGTTATTAAAAGCTACCTATAGTGACTAACTTTATAACTGTTACGAGTGCTGCTGGAAATAATGATTTGGTAACCAATGTCCCATGCTAAAAAGGTACGTATCTCACAAACATTTCTGAAATTATTAATAACTCTTCTTGTGTTTTATTTTGAGCTTCAAGCAAAGGATAACTAGTTTAAAACGTCGTCGCTGGTTGTTGTCGAGGAGAACGGCAAGCGGCGATTTATATTAAAGGGAGATTGCACGACCAAAATGGACTATGGATACACTGTTAATTGCACTAGTTGGATTCACCTTACATAGAAATGGAGACTAAATGGAGCCAATGTTCACCAAAGGCTTTCTTACACTATAAATTATTATACCTTAATTATTGACATAGCTGTGTAGATAAATGTCAAGGTCAACAGGAAGGGCAACAGGCCTCCAACTTCAGGAATAAACGGTCGAGAAATAGTGGTATAATCAGGGTAAGGGAATTGCTGGTATAAAAAGAAGAAAAAGAAAAATGTAAGTAACAAATATAACAAAACATCAATCTAAATAAGCGTGCCGTGACCCTGAAACCGGCAGCAGTTTTTTTATCAGACAATTATTCTGTAGGTGCGAGTGACTCGGCACTTATAAAAAGTGCTGGAAAACGAGAATCCTGCATAGTCATGCTGAATTTTTATGCCTTCCCATGATGCTCTTCGGGCGTGCATGCTAGCTTCATGGACTGGGTCTTCAGAACAGAGCTTTTTCTCAATCTGTATAGACTTTGATGCAGTATAAGCGCCGAGACAGGAATGTTCTTGCGTGGAGTCTCCAAAGTAAATGGGCTTATGCTGGGGAAATGCATTTTGACACTCGAAATTGACTGTTTCTCACCTCTATCTAAATTAGTTCAAAATCTAAATTCAGTCAATTCCTTGGAAGCCAGGGCCTTTTTTTCTTGATTTTCTCGTTGATGTGTAATATTTTGTGCTCTAGATTTCATTGTATTTACTAGGTGTCTTGTTGGATAAAGTTTTAGATCCGTGTTGCATGATTTTGAGAAGTTATGATTTTTAAAACAGGGTCTGAATGGGGTTAACCGACTAGCGACAAAGTGGACAAAATAACTACTGACTAGCGACAAATTTGAACCAAATTTACTGACTAACGACATTAACACATTTACTGACTGGCGACATTTTCCAATATTCAAAGATGTTAGCTCCGTGAATACAAGCTTTTTTTAATTTTTCAAGCAACTACATTCGACATTTTCTGCGGAAAAAATAAATTTTGCTTCGGATTGGCTTCTTGAAGTTGTGATGAGCCACTCTAAAACTTTAAGGGCATCCAAATGACCAATCAAGACTCAAGGATTCATTAATTGTTGGCATTTTAGAAAGAATTCTGTTGGTATAAAGCACCGTTTTAGATGCATTTAAACTTAATGTTATCAACTTTTTTTAAATAACCGCCTACCGACAAATGCCTAGAATTTTAACTGACTAATAATAATAATAACAATCTTTTATTAGGAAAAAACTATAACATAAGTGTGGTTTTCATAGAATTCCTAATGACAAATTCCTTGTGACAAATGCTTGAAATTTTAGCTGACTACCGACATTGAGACCCCCCATTAAGACCCTGTTAAAAGTATATAGGTCTATAGAAGTCCTAAATTTGCATAGTCGGACGGGAAGGAATTAAAGACAAACAAACTCTGCAATACTACCGGCTTCCACGAATTTCTTGTTAAAATGTAAACCAAAGGCTGCTAAACTACATGATAACAAAAAACTTTTCCAACTTTCTCACCTCCAAATTCAAAGGTATTATGGATGAAATGTTTGTCTTTTCCTGTATAATAGCCATATCAACTGCATATTGGATGGGAACAAAAATATCTTTATACCTGTATTAAAATAAGTCAGTTTTAAAAAGCCAATGGTGATTCATTCTCCCGACATTTCATTGACACAAGTATCATGAACCGCGGTATCTAGTTGGGATTAGAGTTTCTGGTTTTAGTTGATTGGAATTTAATTTTTCCCTATTAGAATCCATATCGTACATATACCCTATATTAGTTTGTTTAGTCACAATCCCCCTCGGTCAAATTGAGCAAGACTTTGAGCATGCACGAGTAGCAGGAAGAGCAGAAACGAGAGAAACACCTGCGGAGAAAGGCTAGGTTTATGATTATTTTTAAGCGCTAATAGGTATTTCCGTTAGAACACGCCGGATTGTCGGGAGAACACAAGTAGTCATAGAATGGTAATAATGGAATGTTATAGTTATTCCGAAAGAGAGACCCTAGGAAATATGTTCTGACTATTGCTTTTTTTGATCACTGCAAAGGCTACTCAACTGTACCATGCGTACTGCCATGTACTGACCGAATAAACGCCATTTCACGCGTAATAGCCGAACTTAGACATTATAACAACTTACATTGTGTAACTGCGTGGTCCTGATCCTTGCCTTTTTGGATAGGTTTTCCCTGTATTCCATTTGTCCCAACGATCACCCGTCAGCCGAATAGTGTACTTGACTTTGTTTGGTAACTTAGACTTGCCTTCATTTATATCAAACACTATCGCTAGAAACGAAATGAGTGAAGACTATATATAACTTGTAGCGCGTGTCGGACTTTCTTTGGGCTCAGATAAAAATGATAGTCAATAATCGAATGTAACAATAACAATAACAATAACAATAACAATAACAATAACAATAACAATGACAATGACAATGACAAACAGCAACGACAGCGACAACGACAGCGACAACGACAGCGACAACGACAGCGACAACGACAGCGATAGCGATAAAAGATTTTCGAGATTTATTGTCATGTTTTTGAAGTCAGTCACTGAAAAAAGTTTTGGGATTTTTTAAAGAATTTTTTTTCCATTGGCATTAATATAATAAGCTGGCTGGTTTTAAATGGCTAAATTTGTATGCACTTAACGCAAAGCTACAATCTTGGACAAAGACGTTTAGAATATATGCAATATCAAAGGGCTACTTGGACGAAAATTACGAAACATTAGAAAAGACTTG